AAGAATACACCTGCCGTGATACTGCGCGTCGTAAGAGGCGACTAAAAGTGCACAGGTCTGGTCGTCCGAAAAGTGCCAGTTTGCGGAGGGTCAACTATCCGACCCAGTTTAAAAAACAGTAAGTTACAGAAACACGGACAAACACAGATTTTTATTTTTCGATCTTGGGAGACGAAGGAGCTTCTGTATCAGCAGGAACGATGAAGAACAGAAAAGTGGGAAGACATGGAATAACATCAAGAGGCTAGCCCAGGACAGAGATAGGTGGAAGGTGTTTGTCCGTGGCCTATACCCTGTCGCAGGGTGAGAAAAGGCAATGATGATGGTGATGAATCTTGTTTGTTATACCCTATGACTACCCCCCGGGGCAGTGCCACTGACTATAGTGTCTTTAGGCCATTCCCAAAAGGGGGACATTTCTCTTTCAAGCACAGTAGAATTGTAAATGGGCTGATTCTTGTCATGCTCATAACTGTGCCTGATCTACAACAGGGAACTGTTGCTTTTTCTTTCCTAATCCTTACTATGGTAATTTTCCTCAACCTTTTTTGTATGTTTGTCACTCTCTTGTGACCCGCTATTTCCGGGGTGTCTTGGTAGTCGAAGCAGACTTTGTGCTGTTGAAGCTAGAGAGGTGGGCAGAGTAAGTCTGATTCCCTGTAAAGACTTCTCTGTTGACACCCACCTCTTGGCGCTCATATGACCTTATGCAGTTGCGAGCGCCGTAAAACCTCTACTATAATAAAATAATAATACCCTTTGACATGTCCTCTGAGACGGACCCGGCCCGCGATCTTTTGCCGGGAGGAAGAAAACCGGTCTGGTCGTTTCCGTCTTGTGTGTCCATCAGTTGGGACAAGACACGTCTAGATTGCTGGCCTACTGGCTGTCTTATTTCACACACTGTGTCCCAAGACTGTGTCCTCATTCAAAGGTACTGGATTCGAATCCGGATAGCGACCGGAAAATTTCGTTCTCTGAAATTGTCTCCTTTCACCTCCTTTCCTGCTCTCTAGTAATGTTCTGTCGTCTGCTTTCGTCTCTTTTTGTCCCCCACCCCCTCACCTCCTTTGCCCCCACCTCTGGGCTCCTGACTCTTTCTGCAGCCTTTCTACTGCTACTCCTTGGCTCCTTCTTACTGCTGTC